AAACAAACCAGAGAGACGGACTCGCGACAGAAAAGCCGATCAGCTGATCATTAAGCAGTTTCATGATTGAAGTAGCAGCCAGAAGAGGCAGTCGCTCCATATATCGTTTGGTAAGCTTAACGCAGGAATGCTTTACAAACATTCAGAGATGGACTTACACACTTGCTTTACTTCTCTCGGGGATAACTTTGTCGGAGATGAAATGCCGGGTTGCTAGCGAAGCTCCACATGCTATCCAGACCACCGACAGGTCCCGCATGCCACAGCCGCTCTATCACGTGATGCATACTGCTCCGACGTGCTAACGTTCTGAGGCGAGTTACGGCGTGTTGCAAGTTTTGTGAGGTGCTTTCGTGATATTTAATGGATCGGATTACATTTTTTATTTTTCTCCGATATCCGATCCAGTAATTTAGGTCAGTATCGGACCGATACCGATACGTAATATCGGATCGGTCCATCTCTAATAATAACCACGCAATTTGCATTTTAATAGCATGCAATTTAAAACGACTCATTACGTTCACATTACAATGTGGGCATTTGTCCAGAGAGAAACTGCGGGATGAGTAAAATGCCCGGATTACGCCCCATCACAAGGAATCAGCAGTTTAAAGGTGAGCCATCAAAGCCAGTGTCTCCATTCACACCAAGCAAACTCTGACTTCATTCCAATTCACTACAGAGACTGACTGCTATTAAATGTCTATGGCAAACCAATTGATGAAGTGAATGCCACATGAATAAAACATGACTCAGCCTCTGTGTGAGTTAATAGGTTCGAATTCACTTAGATAAGCCAGCCACAGCTCCTCTGAGGCTTTTATGAAGTTTTGCTGTGGTAATGTGGCGAGGATGATATTCTCATCCTCGCCACATCATCGTGATGCTTCCTTTAGTTTCAGAGTTGGAAGGGTGGTTGGTGCTGATGCAGCTGTAAGGGACTGCATTCTTCTTTAGGAACTTGTAATGATTGTGTTTTTGTACACACACACATTTGTGTAGCTGCGTTCGGGTATACAGCGTTACTGTGTGCGTGAAGTCTCACATGCTGCATCCAGAGTAATTATTTTATAGGGTCTTCATGCAGCAATCCACCAAACAGGTTTCACATAACACATTCCTAAGCAAATGTGTACGTCTGCATGTGTGCGGGGGACACAGATCGTATCTATAACTGCCATTTTCCCTCAAGAAATGCGCACTATCACTGACTGAATGGCCGGGATAATGGACTCATTATACATAAGTGTGTCTGTGTGTGTATTGGCGAGTGAATAACTGGGATCATTTAGCCATTAAGAGATAGGTGGGGGTTAGGAGGTAATCAAGCGTGTATTTAAGTATTTAAAGCTGTTTTGTTTGTTTTTTTTTAATTCTGAGACACACACAAAGCTGTTTGGTCAGTTATATTTCTCAGTAAAAGGTAAAAGGACCTTTGTCATATATATATATATATATCACTGCAGTTTTCAGAGATACTGCAGGATACTACATGCCTCCAAACCCAGTGACTGAGAATTCAAGTCACATCTGTTGTGGTTCATAGCAAAGTTGATAACACAAACTGTCTCCACATATATACCCAGCCAGAGCCCCAGTGGCCTAACGGATAAGGCACTGGCCTCCTAAGCCAGGGATTGTGGGTTCGAGTCCCATCTGGGGTGAACATGGTGTTTTTTAAAGTAGCTCAGACAAGGCTTGTGGTTGTAGTTAAAAAAAAAGAACAAAGTAACATTCGCTGTCAGTTGGAAATAATTATCTCACATGCTCTATCCACCACAATCTCCTCCTACACTGCCTTGGCCAACTTTATAATAACTAACGTCTTTTCTTGCTGCTGTAAAATTATTACAGTGACTTTTTGGGGCATTTGCTGAATGAACCAATACAGCTTTTTCTTGAAATCTAAACACCCATCAACTTATCCAGTCATTATTCTAGACACAGACTCGGGATTGTGAACAGCAGGCATGACTGACAGCAGAGCAAGCATGCTAGTTCAATGATCCAGGGGTCAATAAGCCTAGTGAGCGTTAGCATTGTTGTTTCATTACATCACTGCTTTTGTCCCATGGTCCCAATGTTGTACGCCCTTTCACATTCTGAACTGTCTCATCAGCAGTGCTGCTACTGAGGCACCAACTCAGTGGATACAATTTTTTTGTTTTTGTTTTTTTTTTTGTCTCCTGTACCTTTTCCCTCAGTTGTCTATTTTTCTTCTATTACTTCATCATCAATTTACTGCTGCTGTACCACTCACTTGAGTCTGAGGGATGCTTTTGGTTTCTGCTTCAAAGCTCTATGTAGTAGCCAATTTTCTCCAGTGATAGGGTGAAATACTTCACTTAAATGTCAGCCTGTACTGTTTTTTCTCTTTTAGTTAATCATCTGCTGTGCATTCCAAAGGAAAAGGAAAAGCTAAATGTACAGTGTCTCTAAGCGGCCAAAAAATATTTCGAGTAATTACAGCAATTCCATGACAAAAACAAAAAATCTCCTCCTTGTGTCTGAGGAAAACCTCTGTGGTGATGAGAAGGGAAATGACCACAGTATAGAGCTCCCACAGAGAGGCAGGAAGAGCGTGCACGCGCACACACAAACAAAAACAAATGTGTACAACAGCATGATGGTGGGCACCACAGTAAACACATCATACTTTTCTTTTTGTTCTCTTTCCAGAGACGAGCATATTGACCGCTGTAGATAGGAAACACACATACAGACACATATATACATACGCACACGCACACCTACACCGCTGCTGTTCAAGGATGCGAGGATTCGTCTCAACATAATACACAACAAAAAGTAAAATGGGCAGAGATCCTGGAAATGAAGCTGCTCTATTTAGGTACATATGCAGAAGCCTTTAAACACATGCACCAACACGCCAACACTCACACACTCCATATTCCTGTCCAAGAATATGCAGCCATATATATTCAAGGACATGCAGGCACCTATTGTATCACAATCACTCAATCAAAGCTACTCCAGATTCCATTAGAGCCAAACTCCTCCCTGGGAGAATCCAAAAGGATTCCCCTTCTCCCTCTCTCTTTACTTTCTAGGTCACAATTGGTCGACTCCAGATTTAAAGTACGGATTCTACAGCATCTTTCGGCTTATGCAAGGATGTGTAATCAGCTGGTGTCGTAATCAACGGTGGCTCCGGTAAACATGATTAAAGGGAGTTGAGTTTACCTCGCTGTAACTAAAGGCCTCAAAAATCCTTTTCATTTGAAAGGGATTCGCCAGAGCCGCGAGGGCAAACGCTGAAATCCAAATCCTGTTTTAATTACAGGATTTTGCTTTCACAAAACTTTTGACCGTCACGTTTGTTATCCTCAAACAGCAAAACCCCAAAACGGGTCAAAGCATTTAGTCCTGCCCTATTCAGTGGTGACAAGAGCATCTATAGCTACAGTGTTTGTTACGCACACATCATCCTAGAGTCCCCTTGTTTCTTCAGCGAGGCAGACCCCACCCAACTGCTGCATCCACGAGGGTAAAGTAAACAGTAAAACTGGAGCAGCTGATGCAGAACAGCACCACCTTGTAGCAGTCAAAATCAACTCCGGTTCACCAACGCATCAGCCTGTAACAGCATAGTTCATGCAACATGCTGCACAGTGATACAAGTGCATGGAGAAAGAGGAAAAAATGTGTAACGCACACAGAAGCACAATGCAGTTCTCCACCGACAAACAGCTGAAACTTCAAGTGGCTACAGCTGTCCGTTCCCTTTTTTTAAAAGGAGGTTCTGTTATGTGTGTCCTTCCACCACTGCGTGGACCTCACTACAGTGGACAGATCGGCCCGGGGCCAAGAAATAATTAATTCACTGATGATCTGAATCTGGGATTTCTGCCATGAGATAATTATTTCTTTGTTAGCCATAACTGAAACTAACAGACAAGGACACATTTCCAAATCCTGGAGGAGGGGGCGAGGTGGGGTGACGGGAGGTTTGAGGTGCTGTCATGGAGAAGGTCTTTCGAGTTTGAAACTTCATTAACGAAGTGCTTCAAAGGGGCTGGCAAAAGATTTGAGCTTGACAGGAAATTAATCTCGAGTCGATAAAGTAGGCTTTGCACATGAATTCTCCATGCTTTCGTTATGCTTTAGAAAAACTTCTCGATTGATAAGGATAACACTGTAATTGGGTATTTTTGCCAAAGAAGCAGCATGTACAGGTTTTCTCATAAAGCTGTTCATTACTCCGAGTAGAAACCAAAATACAACGGGAAGAAGAAGCAGCATGACTTTTTGTCTGGCAAAGTCCCAGTTTAGCCAAGAGAAATCAGAGACAAACACTAAAATAATTACCCAAACTGCCAGCAGCAAACATCCTCCACACTATCCCACTTGATTGGCTGGTTCATCTTTACCTGCCGTGCCTTCTACAGTTACACTTGCACTCTATTTTCTTGTGCAATAAGAGCTTATCTGAAATACTCTTATGAGTGCTGCATTTAATTCGGTTCTTTCATTTCTTCTTTTCTTTCCCAGACTTTTGTTTTTTATGTCATTTGCCACGTCTGACATGTGGTTTTACAAAGACTCTTAACTTACAAGAATATGCTGTTATTATTCAAAAGTGACAAAAGGACAAAAGCGCTACTTTTCACTTAAAGTGTCAGACCTCACAGTGAAAGGAGGAAGCAAGGTGGGGCTAAAGATACGGCTGTCACACTCTGAACCTGACTACTGGAGGATGATTGATTAAATACAGGTGGTTAGAGAGTTGGAGGACAATATAGGAAAGAAAAGGGCTGATGGAGACAGGTACATGAACAGAAAGGCTTTGTATAATTTATACATGAATTGCATAACAGTGTGTGGGCATTAATAGAAGGACAAAGAAAGAAAAGTGGGGAAAAATGTGAAGCGGTACATGATTCCAGCCACCTGCATGTACTTGTGGGGAACCAAGACTTGAAACACTAAAGGAAACATAAAGAGAAATGCTCAGAAATGGACGTGCTGCTTCTTACCAGGGTGTGTGAACTGCAGTCTGGGTTGAGATGCTCTCCACGCTCCTGTCAAGGTGGCACCGAGGTGGGCTAGCAGGACCACCACCAGTAATTGCATCCTTCTCCTCATCGCACACGGGGAGTCCAAGTCCAGCTTCAAATGTACTGAATTCTGGCAACTGACACACTAACTCAGTGTAGAACTCAGAGAAAGGGCTAAACTGCCTGCCAAAGTAAACTGTGAAGTCCCAGTGATGTCCAAGTGTGTCAGGCTTAAGTCCAGATCCTTAAAATGATTCACAGTTTTTCACAGGAAGGTAAGAAGTAGCACTCACACTCAAACTTTACCATCTTTGTGTCCGCGATGCTATCTGTGCACGCACGCGTCAGAGATGGAGGCAAAACGTACTCCAAGAAAATGAGTGAGTCGTCTCTCTGCTGCCTCCTCGCAGCCTGACAGCTCTCTACTGTTCTGTCTCTCGTCCCGGCTCCTCTCTACATGTGCTCGCTGTCTCCCTCCCTCCCTCCCTCCCTCTCTCTCTCTCTCTCTCTCAGGAAGGAGAAGAAAAATCCGAGATCTTTGTGGCCACACATATGCAGACGTGCTCGCCTATTCACTCCGCTCCAGGAAAACCTTGTTAAAGTGGAACTGAGACGGAGGAAATCAGCTTTCATCTTTATGCACCATTCTCTCAGTCTCTCTACCGACCTCTCCTTATTGCGCTTACTCTCTCGCTCACTCTTTTTCTTTTCTTCTGATGGCTTTATACTTATCAAAAAATAAATAGAAAAAGTGGCTGATAAAAGATTATGGAAACTTTTTTTTTAAAGCAACAGGTATAGACACATGTTTATTGTGTTAACCACTCAATGAAAATAGGTTTTGAGAATCGATTAAGAATAAATCTACTTTTTATGAGAGGCGAAAAAGGGTTTTAGCGTTTCTATGAACCGCAGGTTCCAGCCTCAGGACTGCGTTCAGGTGAGACCAACTCATGAAACACAATCAGGGACCGAGCCAAGAGGTGCACTAAAAGTAAATGAGTGAGATCTTACAATCAGTTCCAAAACAACCCACGCAAAACACCAAACTCTACCCCTCAGTCTCTTTCCTTATCCTCATTATTTTCTCTTTTTCCACTCCTAACCCAAATGCAATCATTACCGAGCCCGTGCCTTCTCTCCTGCTCTGTTATTTTCATTAGATACCGACTCACTGGAGTACAGCTGCGCCGGGCTGAATTTTTCACCAGCTCAAGTTCAATCACAGGCTAGCGGGGACGATTTATTCATTCTCCTGGATAAATAATGAATTTAGGTTACGTGCAAATGAACAAGTATATGCTCCCTCTGAGGATTTCTGCTTTGTAAATGATTTATTCTCCGAGCTTGTTTGTTATTGCATAATTAGTGCAGGTTTTTCTTTAAATATGACCCAGTGGTTTAATTATGTGATTAGATGTCCTCTGTCTTGGTGTTTACACAACCTCATAAAGCTTACAGTTCGTGGAGGTCAAATCTGGTCAAACCCGGTCATTAATTAAGTTATTCAATTAGTGAAGGAGAAAAACTCTCTCTATCCATAGAGACTCCCATTGTGATGACACTATGCACTACTAAAGTGACCTTGGGCAAGACGTCACTGCAAATGCATCTCTTGGTAATAAAGTGATTCTTTCGGGGTGTGGCCAAGGAAAATAAGCATAACTGAACCTCAGATATATTCATGTGCTGTTTTGTATCACTTAGAAACAATGCATGATTATTTCTGCAGTTACAGTACAGCCAGCAGTACTACTGCTTACCTCTCATTATAGCAGTGCCAGTCCTTTTTTCACCCATGCTGAGATCACCTGCACGTAAAACAGTGCATATAGTAGTGTTGCTTTTACACAGTCATCATGTCCCACACTAACCACCCGGGCTAGTTTTGTGTTTTAGACAAACAGGTAACGCAGGACAGAGAGATCCTATGCAATAGATATGCAGATGTTTTATGTTTGGACGTGTTGTATCACTTGTGTTTTGGTGTTTTGATAGTTAAAAAAAATTGCATAGCACTTTATAATATTGGCCTCCAGATTTAGCATTAAATTACAAGGTCTTTTATTTTAATTTTCCTCAAAAGGCAAGGTTAAGTGTTATAAGTGACCCTAAAAGTAATGTAAGCATACAACATACGATGGGGAGGTTAAAACCACTCCATACTTCGGCCCACGTGACTAAAAAAGTCAGTTGTGCATACAATGTAAAATGGGGAGGTTAAGCTTCTCCATTATGTCATCTGTACCCCTAAAATGTAGATGTACACCTGATGTGAGAAGGGAAGTATAAGCTGTTAAATAATATGGCCATACCCCTAAAAATAAAGCATATTTACAGGTTAAAAAGGGAAATAGAGTTCCTTTGAAATACCTGGAAGTTACTCACTACTTAAAATCACTTCATGTTTCTTCTTTCTGGTAAAAAACAGAATTGTTTCCCTCTTTCACTTTCACTGTACACTGTAGGTAAATAAAAATACAGCCCAATTTTTGGGGAAAATCCCACAGATATTATGTGTTTTTACTGTGGATTACTTTGATTAAGTGTTGGGGAAATGGAATTTCATGCTACAACTTTTAATATTTCCTGTCCTATTGCACCTTGAAGCTGTTTCTGCTACTGATGATGCAGGTTCTTCTCCTGGTTCTGATGTTCACATTTCTAATACCTAAAGAGAAAATGTGTAAAATGACAAGCTTAAAAATATTAATGTTGCATCCATCTCTTACCGGAACCTTTTAAACCCTCAGGTCATTAAGGCAGGATAATTAGAAGCTCGTTACTAATCCTGCCAGAGTCAGTCTGCTTGTTAATTGCAACTAATGACCTCCCAGTCAGCCTGAACAAAAAGCCTCCGATTTGTCTTTGACACGTTACGTCATTTGTCAATTAGCATGCAAACTCTGGCTGCTAAGACCAATTGTTAGTGGTCTTGGATCCCACCGCAGCTATTCTCTGCAAACCAGGCACACACAGACACGTCCATTGACTCATGCACATTCCCCGTGTTTCGTGAAGTGAGTGAGAATGCAGCAGTTAATGAGCAGCTCATTGTCGTCGTTTTCTTCTGTTTGGCTTATGGACCCCTATAAGGCAGACATAACATGAACCCTGATGACCAGTAATTGTTAATGACAGTAATGGTTCACAAACCAGTGTAAGTGATGTAAAAACAAAACGAGCATCAGCTTCATTTAAGTGGCCTTTTGATGCAAATAATCACAGACTGAGAATCAACACCAGAGCTCTGAAAGGTCAAACGTTACAAACTGTAGCCATGTTTATTTACTGCACTATGGGATATAATGGGGCTGGGAGTAATTAGAGTCATAAAGTCATAATTAGCTTGAACCATTATTTCAAGCTGGGTCACTTCAAATTTTATATTACTGTTTGCTTAATTATTACTTTCAATGACAGCAGTGTTTATTTAACTCCTTTATATACAGGTTATGTGCCATATTTGTCCTATAAGAAAAGATTTAGCATGCTCGTGTGACTTTCATATTTCAATCGAAACTATAAACATCTGGAAAGAAAGAAAAGTTGGCCATAATTTAGTCAGGGTGCTAAAGTGTAACCTTGTCTGTGCCACCTATTCAGTACGGTGGTTATAGTGCACTTACATCAGAGGGGTAGGACTATGCTGCCACCTTACGTTTCTTCTTACTGTTTACCTGAATGTGATCTCGTAATCCCGCGAGACTCTGAACTAACCGTAATCTCTGGCGTTTCACCAGAACACCGAGCGACACAGTTGTAATGACGCCTTTGTACCGCTAGAGGTCAGTCTGACATTGTGTGGCCTGAACTGTTACAGCGAATATGTAAGAATATAGTAAGAATATGATAATAGTCATCTCAGAGTGGAGTAAACTTACCTTGTGTTATGTTTTTAATATACTATTCAGATGTTAGAATAAAACATAGAACGCGTACATAGCTAAAAGTAATTACAGTGGTTGTATCCTCATGAATGGTTCAACTTTCATTTACGACTGCCGTTATTTGGTTTTTGGCTATTTTAAATTGGGCTAAATATATTTTTAAATTAGCCTGTTTTAAATTAGCTATATTTTTAAATTTTTAATCCCACGGTGAGGTCGGGAAAGAAATTCTTTAGCAGATGATATGGAGTATATGGCAGGGTGGAGAGTGTTTTGGAGGGAGTGGACTTGACCATTCTCGTCCTCCGCGCTCACATCATGATGTGTTGGAACCTTTTGTGCGGGGGCGCGGCTGTCGTGAGCGCGCTTTGTTGGGGGATGAGCTGTTAGTGAATTAAAAGTAGATCCAAAACATTAGCATTTTTAAGAAGTAACAGCTAAGACACCCAACTGGCAGCTTTATTCTTCTTCTGTTTTTTAACTGTGTCGTGAATCGTAATTCTTGTTCTACCGGAGAAACAGACACTCACTGGTGACAGGACACCCAGCGGTTAAAAATAAAACTTTTGGAAACAAGAAGAATAGGTGGGTGTATCGATGAGTCACAATCACGGGGAAATCCTTGTCATACCCTCCGTCCAAAGTCATAACAAAAACTACACACCAGTCTCTCTCTCTCCCACACACACGCACACACACACAGGACCGAGCAGCCAGTCCCACCAGTCCAAAGCCACCACCGAAGATCGTCTAATTGAAAGATGACTATCGGGAAAATATAAGGGTGTGACAGGCAAATCTGGGCAGCAGCTGCCGCATGGATGGCTCTGCTAATTAAGAATAAGGAAATAGGTATTGTTACGACACAACTCCGAGTCTCGTCATTTTATGATTCACTGCAGGCTTGTTTGGATGATGTATGTGAAACCACTCAGTCAGTTTCAGCCAGTATTGGTTTTTAGAAAACCTCGTTACCTCAACACTGTTCATGAATGCTGATTAATGGGAAAATGTTCTTTTAAGAATGAAGTTGTTTTAAACAGAGATGTTTCCAGAGGTGGGCATGGGTGGCAGCAGCCCCCTTAAAGATTTTGTATATAACCACAACCCTAGCCACGCAAATATTTTACATTGTTATTACATAGTCAACACCATTTATTTAAAACCTTTAATTATTCTATGGATAAAAGTCAAATCTATTATGATAAAGATAAAGCTACCTAGCATCATATAATTACTTAAAACTAGCTCACATCACAGTAATAAGTTTAATAAACAAAATAGTAGCTAATTCTAATAATGAATCTGCAAATTATAATCTAGCAATATGATCTAATGCATGTGATTAGAGAGGGCCACTCGACACTGGCAAATTATAAGGGCAAATATAAAATGAAGGCAGTAGCATACACAGCAAAATAATAGTACTGCAGTAGCTTAAGCCATAGATGTTTATTCATTGCCGAGACAACATTGTTGTGAAAATTTAATGTTTCTGTTGTGAGTAAAAACGGTTCCAGACTGAGGGGCCAGACATTTCTGACGTCAACACTGCTGTAGTCTTGGGCCAGAGTTAAATTGCAGTGATGCTCACATGAAATGAGATCTTTTCCTGTCAGGAAGTTGACGAGATGTTTTTTGTTTTGTTTGTTTTTTCAGTTTTATAATGAGAATCATCTTAAATTACCCTTGGCTGATCGTGTTCAGTGGATCTGGATGGAAGAGGGGGGTACACTGGTCAGCACTGTTGACTCACAGCGAGGAGGTCCTGGGTTTGAATCCTCTGTGGAGTTTCCCTTTGTCTATACAGGTTATCTCAGGGTACTTCAGCTTCAGTGCAACATTTAAAGGCATTCATGGGGTTTAGTTAATTGGAGAATATCAATTTGCCTTAAGTGTCAGTGTGAATGGTTCTCTGTGTTCAGCCTACAATAGACGGCATCCCATCCTGGGAAGGCCGTCTATTGCAGGATGGATGGATCGCAAACAAAATGTTATGGCCTACAAATTCAAGCCAGGGGCTATAGCTTGGTTTGGGGTTAGCTTTTACTGAAAGATTATCACTAACTATTTTTTTAACATATTTAAAATAACAATTGCTAGCTAATGCTAATTTAAAACATAATGTGAAAACTTCTGCAAGGAAGGTACAAGAGGTTTAGGCAGGTTAATTGGATTTTCACACACTTCTCTTCGAAAATCTCCTCTATATAAATGGGATCAACAAAATATTTTTAAAACAATTTAAAACTATGTATTGTATCGTTATCGCTTCAAAGAAATCAAAGACAATTTTAGGTGCATAATTAGACAAAAAAATCGCTGCCTCCATGCAGATCCGCTTTGGGCTGTAGAACAGCGAGTCTGAATAATGATGAACTTCAAAAAGATCCTTTGGAAATGCAGCAAAGTGAGAGGTCTTTCCTTTTTCATTGCTGCCTCCCTCACAAGCCGACCGTTTCACTGCAGATAACAGACTCTTGTGTAACCCGCCCCTTCTCTTTTTTCCTAGCACCTATTGGACGACTCCCTTCATCTTCCTCTTATCTTATTGGACAGGCGGACCAGGCAATGAGCTCATATTGGTTAAAAATAGTCGGGCCCGTGAGTGGCTAAAAATAGAGCGGTATATAAAGCCGGCAGTTGAGCCTCTTTGCTCGCTAGTCTTCCCCGGCTGTTAGGCGAAAGGGAAGGGAAGGGAAGGAGGGGGAGAGAGGCAAAGACTGACTGAAAGAAAGACGGGAGGGGAAGGAGCCACACAGCAAAAGAAAGAAAGCAGCATCGGTACCCTCCCCTTCAGCTCATTCCTCTACAAGTGTTGCGCTAGAGACAGCGCGTCTTATGTCTTACATGCCACCAGTTTTAGGTGGAGTAGGCAGTGACGAACTTCCTTCCTTCCTCTTCGACTTCGTGGGTTTCGCTCTGAATGCGTCTCTAGAGAGCCCCAGTCCATTTCCTTGCCTAGCCAGCAGAGATCTCACAGTTGAGGAGGTGCTTTTTATTAAGTCGGGAATACCCTTAATATGTCTTAAGTGTCTGTCTGTATAGTCATAGCTGGTGTAGCTGTGACTACAACAAACTATAGTGGTTCTAACAATGTTGCTTCTTGTGTGTCTGTGTTGTGTTTGCCACTTTGCAAGTGTAACAGCATTTTAATACGGTTATTACAAACTTTACTGAGACTGAGGCTGTGCCCGTTTAGTGACAAACAGGAAACAGATGAGATCACGAGGGCAGAGTCGGTAAAATAAGAATAGAGTACAACACAGCTTATTGTTCCTGGATGAGGCCCTCTCCTACAAGAAGGTCCGCAGTCACGGAGGTCGGTCCTTTGCAGTCTGGCAGGCTTAAGTTGACGTGGTTCCTCTCACATCCGCCCACTGTGGCTTTTGTAGTTTACTGTTGGAGACGACCTCCTACCTGTATACTAGAGGCATATTTTCTATATCATTTAATATTACTGAGCAAAAATCTTAAAGTACCTCTCATTTTCTTATGTTTTGGAAATGGGAAACGGGTGCAGAGATTTATGGAAATGTGCATGTAAATACACGTAAATACAGTATATAAGGCAAAAATAGAGTTTGCACAACTCCAATATCAAAATCACCTTTATTTTTGAACACAGCCTGAACTCTTAGTCAAGCTTTCTTTTATTTCTTTTAAATAGTGCAGGACATTCAAAGCTCTTCTTTGGATGTTGGCTGCCTTTTGTTCTGTTCTGTCAAGATGATCCCACACTGCTTCAATCATGTTGAGATCTGGGCTCTGAGGAGGCCAATCCATGACCGATTGTGCTCCACTGGGTGTTTTACTGCATTGGCAGTATGTTTGAGATTATTCTTGTGCTGAAAAATGAAGATGTGGCCAATCAGACGCATTCTAGATAGTTTTTCATGGTGGGTCAAAGTCTACTTCCATCAGTTTTCTACAAGCACCCCAAACTTACTGGCTAAAATGCAGCACCAAACCATTAAAGAGCCTCCAGTGTGTTTTACAGATGGCTGTAGACACTCACTGTTGTACCTCTCTGCTGACTTCCTCTTTATATACTGATGACAATTTGAACCACAAATGTAAACTTTGGATTCATCACTCTATTAGACCTGTTCCTGCTGATTTTCAGTCAAGTTCTTAATGTGTAACTTGTAATACATCAGCCTTTTCTCCCTGTTTTCCTTCATTAAGAATGGTTTCCTGATAGCCACCCTTCCACCGAGCCAAGTTTTTGGCTAATAGCTCATTGTTTGTGCAAGAAAACTTGTCTAAAGAAAAGCTTTGGAAGACCTTCAGAAAACTATAACTCAGAAAACTCAGAACCATAGGTCAAGACCACTTTAGAAAATGACAAGAAAGTCATGCTGCTTGGAAACAAAATAATAACGAGACGATGGTGCCTCAAGCTTTTTGCACAGCATTGGGTTTTTTTTAAATAATAAAGTAGCCGGAGTTTCTGATATCCCCTCCTTTTGAAATGGCCTGGCATTATTATCCTACTTCTGTGAATATTAAATGAATGCTTAATTTCTGTTCCTGTGTCCTCTTGCACTCGAATGCCCGTGGCGATCATTACTCTCCAAATCATGATTTCTGTGTTCACATCAAAGTGTCTGGCAGCACAAGAAAGGAACTGACACAGGCAGATTTTTTTTAACCAGTATTTAGTCCACGCCGTTTGACTGCTTACATGTGCTACACAGAGGTATTTTTTTCTTTTAAGTTACACAAAGGCGTATGTAGGCTCAGCTCCATGCAAGTACCATCCTGCTCATACATTTAATCCATTTTATTCCTGGATTTCCACTCCTCCACGCTGCATTACACAACCACTGCTGGACACCGAGTGGCACCACACTCCGCACACACTCGCAGATTCTCGATTACTTGCCCCACAACATCCAGCACCGTCCCACGCAGGCTGAAACTGCCTCACCTCAGCATCCCACACACTCTCTGCAGCGCAGGAACATCATCTTTGAGTGGTATGGTGTTACTTTCTGCTCCCCAGGCAGCAGTCATCCTAACGACTGGTTATTTATCAAGGTCGTAATCAAACTTCAGCGAGAATCAGCTTTTTATTTAATCTAAGCTCATTCTGACGTTTAAAGGTGCAGTGGGAATGCAATTTCATATTTTCATCCTGAGTTGAGACTTCTCAGTCTGAACTGATCTCAGACCACAAAGTATAAAATAATGACCACGTTCTGTAGCACAAATTAAGTGTGGATGACTTTAAGATTAAGAGCATGACTGAAGCTTCCTGCGAGAGACTAAATCCTAAACCCTGATCACCTGAGCTGTATTGTGCAGCTCATTTAGATTTAGTGCATCCCCCACGTAACATTAAGTTAGTTTCTGGCTGCAGCAATTTTGAGTTGAGTCTTTGCTTCATGTTACTTTTTTTCCTGAAATGTACCTCTCGAGTAAAGGCTTAAAAAGGAAAAAAGAAAGAATTGGTTCCTTTTAAAATGCTCTATTGCATCTCAAGTCGTTTCACTTCCCCTCAGCTGCTGTCTGGATTTTTCTCTAGATTTCCCGTGCTAGTTTTACTGTCATGTATTCAGACATAGTGTTGTAATCTTAAGACATAAAGGCACCAGTACATTAAACACTAAACCATTCATTTATATTACATGTTTATTGACTGAGCCAAAGTGCTCTTCCCCAACCCGGACGATAATGAATAGGAGTTGTGTGTTATAGAAAGTAATTTATTACACAAACCAAAGCTAGTTTACAAATAGTTTCCAGTCATGTGCGTGTGTATAGCCTAGTATGAACAAACCCACATCTTTTTTCCTATTTTTTTAATATATTTACAGACTTTGCATACAGCTTGTTTTTTTCCTGTTCCTTTGTTTAAATCACTACTTCAGCATCCAAAATAAGGACTTAAAAATACAATAAAAACTAGAAATAAAAATGATTTGTACATGAGAATAAAGTTTGCTTTCCTTTTTTGTCTTTTCAGCTAACAGTGTGTTCAAAAACAAACAAACAGAAAAAAAAAAGCCAGCACTAATTGTCCTAGCGATGCTCTAGACAGGCAGCCGAGAGGCCAGCCTTTCTCCTGACTGCCCAACAACAGCATTTGGCTGGATGATTGGTTATTAAAACCAACAGTAAATCATCAGAAAGATTCAGGTAAAGCACAGAGAAGGAAAAAACAAAAACCTAAAGCAACATAAGTATTCCCTAGTCTTCCACCTCTTATTTTTTTATTTTATTTTTTTTTTAAATACTGATAGACAACATATGTTTATGACTTTTTTTTAAAGAAGTTGGAAATAAAGTATAAAAACAAACACCACGAGACTGGTTTCTAGAACAGGCTCCTCCCTGTAGACCAGGAAGAAGAACAGGAGGGTGCAACGCTTTCACAGAAGAGAGCCAGAATGTGTTAGCAAAATACACAGTAAAGTCAGGAAAGGCTGGTGACTAACCAATCCTCAGACTGGCCATGCCTACATTTTCTTTTTTCTTTATTTTAACAAAACAAAACTATATTAGCAGCAGGTGGTTATTTCTTTGATGTGGCTCACCTGCATGTTATACGAAATCCACCTGGCTGACCAACCTGACAATTCTGGCATTTCTATGCACTGTTCTGGGATAAAAAGGTCATGTCACTTTGTTGTTTGTCTCTCTTTAATCGTTAAAGCAGATGAGAGTTACTAACAGGCAACCTGTAAAAGGGATGGTAAATCCCAGGTATCCGTTCCCTCCCCCCCCTCAAAAATTTACCTGATCTTCTTAATGTACACATGACCCTTCTACATGCTTACACAAGCACACACACGTAATATTCATAGTCATTCATCCCAAATAAGGAAATCAGTGGTGTGCATGTAAACATTACTCTCCCCTCCTTGTTCTTTGTCCTGGCCTAAAACCAGAGGAGGATGAGCACCAGTGGCCAGCTGTGGAACAGGAAGGGATGGGAGCAGAGCCATGGCAGTTTGCTCAGGTGGGTCTACGCAACACAGGAAGCTACCTTTGTCTTCCAATGGGACCACAATTCACCCGCCACTTCCACTGATTCAGTCTGAAGAACTTAAATGTTAAAGAACCCTCAGATGTGAACTAAAGTAGACAAACCAGCTGCAGTTAAGACTCCAGCATGTTTATGCTCATCTTGTCTGGCCACCAAAGGCACACTGCTGCTAACCTGGAAATAACTGAACCTGGCTGTGTTTTCTAAAACACTAAGATCATCTGAAGCAAGCAGATTGTGATAAGATACACTTCAGATCTCGTTTAAAACAAGCAGCTAGCCTCAAATAACAACAGCACTCAATGTCAGGTGTCTGCAACAGATTATCCAGTAAGAGTAGAGGCTAAATGTGTTTGTCACAGAGTCTATAAACAGAGGATTAACTACAAAGAGAAACTAAATGGCATGTGAGCATGCTCCATGCCTCTCCAATAACACAACCCACCTGACAGCATGTGACTACTAGTTTAATCCTATCAATAAGAGTTTTTTTCTTCCATCGGATTGAAGTGCTAGCTAATACACCTCAAATTTGTTTCAAGCACCATTCTGAGGAGCACTCAATTTATTTAACTGGCAATTTGTCTCCTATTGAGGGCTGTTTTAACTGACCTACAGCATATAACGAGTAAGATAAAAGTGCAAAACTAGGAAGTGATGCCCTGGCTTCCCTGTCTTATCGTGGCCACTTCAGAACTTCATACATCCCATCCCTCCATCTTCCAAACTTCACACCATCTTAGCCCTAATTCCAGGCATGAGCACCTGGGGATGAAGTCCACTGGTGGCCTTTTACAGTGGTACTCATTTACTGTGCTGTCCGTTTCTCCCTTCCGTCTGTCTGGTCATCCATTCAGGTAACTTTAAAAAATTTTGTTATTGTCCCTAACTCCCTGTAATTCATGAGCAACTTTATCAGGGCTACCAGTCAGCTAGATTTTACGAAGGACTCGATCTTAAGGATCTTTATCAGTGTAAGTGGCTTGTTGAAAAGTAACTGTTGCTGGTGTAAATTTCCCACCCAGATGGTAAACCCACAGGTAAAGAGCCCAATGGTTTACAGCGGTAGTCGTTTACCACCTCCCTTCCCTTCGTCTCCCCATCTGTACTTTGCCACCAAAGCCTTTCAAACCCAAGTCCCAGGGTAAATTCAGTCCAACAAACAGCCAGGTTACAGCGGCAGTCATTTACTGCACTCTTTTCTTCCTCCCCCTCCCTCCCTCCCATCTTGTAATCCCTCTGTCCCTCCCAAGCCCTATCCCCAGGTATAGTAACCCAGGGTGAAACAGTCCAAATATGACGGCCAATTTACAGTAGCACACATTTATTGCTCTTTTTCCCACGACGGGCCTGCAGTGCCGCCCTGGTGGCCATCTCAAACACCTCCCGCACGCCGTCCTTTGTCTTAGCAGAGCACTCCATGTAGCCAAATGCTGCAATCCGCCCGGCCATGTCTCGGCCCTCTTCTGATTTCACTGGCTCCTATTAGCCGAGAAAAACAAAGTGGTAGTTTAGGAACACACATATTCTAGATAAGTGTTTAATCTCAAACAGCTTTTGCTATAGTGACTGGCAGAAACACGGCACCACTAATTCAAGATCTAAAAATCAGAAGAACACTTAAGATTCACTCTCGCTTAGTTCAGAACAAACATGTTAATTCAAACCAAGTAAAAAGTCAGGCACCTGTTTCATCTTGGCCAGCTCTCTGCGTGTGTGCTCGTCATTACGCAGATCTTTCTTGTTTCCGACCAGAATGATGGGAACGTTTGGACAGAAGTGTTTGACCTCCGGGGTCCACTTCTCTGGAATGTTTTCTGTAATGGACAAAGACCAGAGACGGGAGGCATAAACAAACAAATAATTCAATTGTTTAAGTGTTATAACTGTCAGACTAAAATTTAATTGAGAGCCCTTTATGCCTGAGGTGACCCTTTTTTCCTTTTTCTTTTTTTTGCTTTAAGACATTCTCCAGTGATGATGTGTCCATCCCTGCCCTGTTCCAGTGGACTTGTTTATCTTTTTGTAGCCCTCTGTGTCTCACTTAAAGGAGAAACAAAGTACTATTTACCATTTAATCCCATTTTTTCATAGGAAAAGTGGGCACCACAAACCATCATTGCATTCTTTGCAAAAAAAAAAAAGCAGTTTGATGTCACAGCAGCTGCATTTACATTTAAATGTGTTAGCAGAGTAAAATTGGAGGATGTCAGCGTTCTGATCAGTCTTTAAAATTTAAGCTTATGCAGACATAATTAAATTATGTTTCTGAAAAGAAGAAAGCTCTGCTTTTATCTCCACTGAGTATCAAATGTTATCTTACTTGGTCAGCAAAAAATGTTGCTTTGAAGATATATGACAATCTTTCGTGCAATAAGACTTTGTTTTATTACAACTATAATGTCCTTTCATTGAATCTTAATTAATCTCTGGCAGTTTAATTTTTCTGCTGCTTTTATCACTTTTATGTACAGCCATTTCCATGTGATCATGGAAGTGCTGTTAATAATCATCATGAGGAAAAAAGATACGACTCTGTTTAACAGCAGGAATGGATGACACTACATAACAAACGAGTTGTTACTCTGCGTGCACACAAATGTAAGTAGTTCCTCTGCAAGTGCACAATCAAAACAGTCCAGAAATATCTTCTAATGAAATCAGAAATGTGGCAAACACAAAAGAGAGAATTTGTTTTATTTATGTCAGGAGTGTATGCAACTGCAAGAATGTGTTTGCTTTGTACACACCCAAGCTGTCAGGGCTGTCTATGGAGAAACACATGAGGATGACGTCAGTGTCTGGATAGGAGAGAGGTCTCAGTCTGTCATAGTCCTCCTGACCTGCTGTGTCCCAAAGAGCCAACTCCACCTGACCAACATTGAGAAAAGAGAAGGCAAAGAAGGACAAAAGATGAGATTTGATGAAAGGAGAACAAGGAAAACTTTTAAAAACTGATCAAAAGGGGATGGAAAAATGTGTAATTTTCATCTTGATCAGCATAACTTTTACACTGAAGCCAGCAAAGAAGGTGAGCAACACCTGCAGCAGACAGTCCTGACAACAAAGGCTTTTTTTTTACAACCTTAAACTGGCAAGGATTACTAACATAATCACTAATTATAATTTGAAAAAGACCTGAAAGAGTGATGACCTATGATATGGAAATGATAAATACATTTTTTTCCCAGCTGTTGCCATTCGATAGTTCAAATATTCTCTTCACAACCTTTTGAATACCCAGTTTGAAAGCCATATAAAGCATTACATTATTAGCCAGACATAAGAGAACATCCACAAGCTACCTAAAATCAATCACATTCAAAGAGCAATTTTAGTTTAAATTAATATTTCTGCAAAGCCTTGGTATATGTAATACACGTGCCAAATTTGTAAGAGGTAGGGGAAAAAAATACCAACAATGTGCTCACATAAATTGTGCTCTTGTTCATTCTGCACGTGCCATTTAATTTCAGAGACAATACAAAACATGACAGTGACATAACATCTTCTCTATACAGAATGCAAATCTAAATGGTAAAAGAAGGCATTTGGAAAAGTGTCACACTTCAAGAAGCATGAATCCTTTGCAGCAGCACAGGAGGTTAGAAATCAGACAGCCAATAAAGACTTCCCGTCCCAGAATCCTATTAACCCACAAAGAGGTCAGGACTCAAGAGTTTGTGACTGATGAGGCAGGCTGCCGCAGTTATCTGGGAAGAACTAACTCCACCCACACAGGATATGTGTGGAGTGCTAAATAATCAAATCCACTGAACTCCAGAGCAGAGTGTCCTACTATATTTTATATAATCCTCACTTAGTGCAAACACACAAGCTACAGACACTTTGTAAAACATGATGACCAAGCTCAAAAAGAAACCAGACTTAGCAGATGACTGCTGTTGTGTGAAGGAAGATGTGAAAATGGAACAGTACATTTTTTCAACACTTGCTCACTTGGCCCTGAAGGTAGAATTAAAGCACTGAGCATGATTAAGCACCCAGGAAATGAGTCCCAGCACAAAAACCAGTGCAGATAGTAAGGAAGGGAAAGATGTGCTGTGACATTTAGAAGACCCAAGACTGAGTCACCTACTTTATTAAAATATTCAAAAAATATAATTCAGGTAAGAATCTTTAAATGGCATTTGTTCACAGAGTAAAACAGTCACTTATGCAGATGGGTCAACAGGTCTAAAGCATCTACCCCAAAGCACCACTCTTACATGACATTAAGTATCAGTAGGCAGTGTAGTAGTTCGAATCCCTGCAGTTGTCTCACCTGTTTGCTGTCCACCTCTATGTCAGCAACGTAGTTCTCAAACACAGTGGGGACATAGACTTCAGGGAACTGATCTTTGCTGAAGACAATTAGAAGGCAAGTCTTCCCGCACGCTCCATCCCCCACTATTACCAGCTTCTTACGGATGGCTGCCATCCCTGGTGGAATACAAAAAGGAACATTTTAATCAGGGAACCACAGGAAAAGCGTTGTATGAAGTATATGTATAGCATGGCATTACAGCAGAGCATCAAAAAAGCACTGACTGTAACCACTGGGAGAATTACTCTCCTGTTCACAAATAAAATTTGTGCTACTCAGGTCTTGTTTGACTGCCCATTTTGAGCATGAGAACAGAGAAAAATGTGAAAGTTGAGTCACATTTGTGCCACATAGAAGGGTAGTGTTGCTAGGTGCACCTGAACTATGCAACACTACACTTAACACCTTTAAACCACATAGCTGAAAAGCAACTCAGTCTCAGAAGCCCCCCCAGTTAGGGCTGCTCGATTATGGCAAAAATGATAATCACGATTATTTTCACTGAAATTGAGATCTCGATTATTTGACGATATTTATTTAACCCTTTAAGACCTACCATAGAACCAAGTCCGTCAGAGCTTATATTATTATTATTATTATTTTTTTTACATGCTGTAGTGCCATTTTTGGGAGCATTTTAAGTTGCTATACATCAATACAACTGTTATAGCCCATATTTTAATAATATGTATGCATTAAGTGACCGAGGACAAGCTGATGACATAAGCTTGTCACTGGTTTGCCATCACCAGTGTGTGAATGGGTGGATGACTGGATATGTAAAGCGCTTTGGGGTCCTTAGGGACTAGTAAAGCGCTATATAAATACAGGCCATTTACATAAGATGTAAGTACAACTCCTCCGGTTTCTTATGCAAAACAAATTATTGCGCTAGCTTACACGGTTCCGGTTCTACAGGGATTTAAAGGGTTAACAATAACAATGTATTGAATAATGACTTTAAAAAATAATATAAAATAGTGTGCAAATACTGATAACAGTGCAAATGTTTGCAATATAAAAAATAAATGAAAAATGTAAACATCTATGTTTAGTGAACTTTGCAGTGTTGCTCTGTGGTGCAGCTACTACACCGTAGCAACGTTTACACACTATGTCTACTTGACGTCTGACTCTGCGAACCCATAATGTTTCCACACCACTGAAGGTTTTTTTTACCTCTCTTTTCAACCAACGGCAGTCACTCTCCTCTCCAAATAACTTCAGCTTAGCTTTCTGAGCTGCCCTTGGGTCCTCTTAATTGTTGTGACGGGTGTTCGAAATGCAGAGAGGTGCGCTCGATTTGCCACACGGAGCAGCGCGAGAGTAAAGCACGAGGGAGGGGCTAATAATCGGCTCAGTCATTTTTAATGATCGTTGAAAGCCCAGATCGTAATCGTGATTAAAATTCGATTAATTGAGCAGCCCTACCCCCCAGTTGAAATGATTAATGAAATCAGAAAATAATCAGAAATATATTGGTATCACTATTCAAACTGATTTGAAAACAGGGTATACTTGATAAAAATGGCAAAGAAAAGAGCAAGAATCATTTTGTATTGGGGTAAAGTTAAACTTCCTGCAGGCTACTACATATAGTTTGTTAAAAACTAAAAGGTTAATTACGTTGATCACATTCTCGATGTAAAATTGAGTAAATAACTGTAACCCACTTTCATTAATAATCCAATGTCTTGTGCATGTAACTTAAGAATACGTGTAGTGTTTACACTGTCCCCTGTTCTTCTAACTGCACTGCACGTTTTCTGCACTACCTATACACAACATCACAAAGGTGTTGCGTGGTGCACAAAGATGCGAGCTACTAGGAAGTACTGAGTCAAGGTTCCAGTAATTCATTATTGTAAATGACCCAACAAGCGCACCAGTGTGGGTGTGAGATGAACTTGCCCAACAGAGTTAAGGGAAGTGAGTGCAAATGAGCGACATGCAGTCTTGTGTCACTGGTTTGCAGCAGCTAGGATCAGTCCATGTTGGGAAATTGCATTCAGCTGAATGTTAAAGACACGAAATGAGTGCCAGTGTTTTGGATTTTCTGCTGAACCTCCACAGATATTTTACAATTATTTAATATGCACTGCTGTTTAAACTATGGAAAATGACTATAATCTCAGCCACATTTAAAAAGAAAAAAAATCTGAGACACTAAACAGGACAAAAGAAGGTGACTTGTCTTCATTTGAATAGGAAATGCGTTTTAAATGCTAGCGTTGTTCAGCTGGACACACTGAAACGCTCTCTTTATTCATTGAGCACACATCAAACATAGCTCATTTGTCATGGTGGCCCTGCTGCTTAGACTTTCACACCAACACAGTACATATACTGTGTACTTGCTAACAGCACAAGGACAACGGGACCTCACATAGCAGGGCTAATAAATCACATCCCTGAATGGATATTTCCTCCTTGGTTTGAGAAGGTATAGCAGTGTGGAGTGCCAATCATCATTCTCTACCCTGCTATCTCCATCATAGTGAGTCAGGTGGAGGCGTGGTAGAGAGCAAACTGCTTGACACCTCTCCTGTTGTCTTTCAATCCGTCAGCTAAAATATGGTGTTAATCTGCTGCAGTTCTGGAGATGTATCTTTGTTTAACTGGCCCCTTTAATCTGCTAGGGTACCAGAGTTTTATTGATGTACCATAGTTTAATAAAACCCCAGCTGCATGAAAATAAAAATTAGTTAATATACCATTATGTTTGTGTGTGCGTCCATATAGTAATTTGCATGCAACTGAAATTCTCAGATACATGTGCCTACAGTCTTTAGTTTCTGGCAACAAAATCAGTAAATTTCTGATGAAAAGGCAGCGTTTTCCTAAAGCACAGCACATCTGGACAAAGGGCTTACTTCCACCACTAAGATTTTTTCCACAGAACACATTCATCAACCACAGGTTAAATTCACACATGCTAGAGTTCCTGTCACTCGCTGGCTATGCTGCTCTTCCCTGTGGGCTTCACTCTCTCATTTTTTTAAATTTGCTTGCCAAGCAGAGCAACTGTGACAGAGCTGTTAATGCTCTGGCCAGGACTGGCTTGTATTGCGCTCAGGAACAAATTGCGTTGTCTTCATCTTATGCCCGCTGCTCTGCTCAGTTAGCCCCTTCCCATAGAAATGAAGAAACAGAGGATGAAGCAAGTGAACATAAATTAGTTAATAATTATGTTACACATTTTCTTTTCAATTTCTAGTTATCAAATCTAAAAAGCATGGAAAGCATCTCATAAATGGTAGATGAATTGTCTAAGTAGGACATCGGCGTCCAAAAAGAGAAGAGAAAAAAAAAAAAGAATCAGACCACCCCCACCATGACTTGAGAATAAAAGGAAAAGACAAGAATTGGGGCAGCTGTAGCCTAGAGGTGGGTATACAGTCAATTTGCCCACTAGGTAAAAATGAGTATCTGTGACCTCCTTTTGATGAATGTTGGTTATACGTCAAGTCGTTAAATGTACCAACCATGCTTAATAGCTAGCAGGGGTCTCCACAATAGAAATGATATAAAGCTCGTTTTAGGCATTAATTTCAGTAAATACAATTATCACAATGTAAGTATGACCTAGTACAGAAGTGCTGTCAAAAGATTAATATAGGTTGATTATTAGTTCTTAGGGTGAATACTGATGGCCAAAGTACAAAAACTACATAACAATGTTGCCCATCCCACACGTGATTGAAAGCTACAAAGCGTGTTTTCAGATTCTGGAGCTGTGAGCACGCTAGGATCTATGACATAATGTTGTCATCAGACAATGACTGTGACGCTCTGTGCACGTTTCCACATACCTGCCAATTTTTTTTAGGACGTGTAGATTGTAATGTAAAATCTCTGGACCAATGCATCAAGTAAACATGCACCTTTCAAGAGGGCATCATTGAATAATGACTAAGTGCCCTTAGTGTCTCTAGATGTACATTTAAACGACAGGATAATTGTTAGTTAATCATTCCTTTTCTAAAATCCAGATGTACTCAATGAAAAAATAAAACTTGAGCATTGTCTACCTGTTTACAACAAACAAAATGTGAAATGAAGATTTCCACACATCATCATCGGCTGTTAAAATTTAGGCAGCCCATTTTTCATAGCCATGCTAAATTTAAACATGTTTGTCAATTAACAGGAGTGACGTAACAAGTCCTTTTCAAAAACACAACATTCTCAGACATCGACATCATGGTGATAACGCAGATAGTGGGCAAGCTGACCGTCACTAAAGATAGTATATTGTTCGAGTTTAGCAAAACACGGCTGGTTATACAAGCTGTGTTGTATGCTGGATGAGCAGCAAACCAAGGTAACATGTTACTTCACTTGTCATTCATAACCTTGTAGATAGTAGGGACTAGGCTACACGTGCAAATCCCCACCCCATTAGCATGATAGTCAGCAAGAGTCTATTAGATTAACTCAAATGAGAGCGACGTTGACAACCAACAGGATCAAATTACAGCGAAGAGTACACAGAGAAGCAGAGAGCAACAAATGACAACTGGTTAATATACACTTAGCCAGCAGTTTTTTGTTAGTTTGTTAAAATATTATATTTAAAAAAAAAAAATCAAGTAGGCATTTCTGGTTACTTATGAAAAGCAGTCCTGTTTAGATACACAACCACTTTCAAACACAAAAACACTTCCATAATCCTTTCACACGTCATTCAAGTGTGAAGTGAAATGCTATTCTGTCAGCATTTTCACTTTGTATGACACAGCCTTAAACATTACTGTGCACCTGATGATTCATTATCTTGTCTGCTAGAAAGAAAACAACAACAAAAACAAAACAAAAGACAAGAAACCTTTAGAAAGTGCCACGGTGGCATCGATAAGGTGTGTATGCTTGGTGAGGAAAAACCCCACACATACATTCTCCAGGGTGGAAAATTACCCCCACTTAAGGCTGGTTAACTGACTGCTGGCTGATAAATATTTCAATTTCTGACAGATACTTGACACAAGCTTCTTCTGTGATCTAACATGTATGTGCTGTACATATTGATAATAAATTGCAGCCCAAAGAAATGCAATTTATTATCAATATGTACAGCACATACATAACGGAAAAATGCAGTATAAAAATATCCCCTTTAAAACTGCTTGGTAATGTATGCGCTATTAGTTTGCTAAAGCACTACAGACTTGACAACATGTCATAGATCTTCAGCTAATGAAATGACTAGGCTGCTCACAAGGGTTGTATTCAAGAAGAGAAATATTTGCATTTCAGCGATTTTTCCCCTAACATAACCTGTACTTCATGTAGGCAGTAGTCACCTGCTGTAAGCAGTTTGGCTAGAGATACACGGTGTATGAATTTACTTTGGAACTCAGGTCATTACATGTCAAAGTAACAAAGACGAGCTTGTTATACTAGCTACCTTTGGTCAAGACAGCCCTTTAAATTATGACCTTACAGTATTTGCTCATCAAGTTAGCTGTCTGGCCATGTCCCCTGTGATCTAGGAATTCTGTCTGTGTGAAAGATTGAATTGAAAACAGCTTCTTCACACTGGTCAAACCCATGGTTTTTTGACTGGATGTCATCTCAGCCTACCAAGTACAATGTTGCTGAACTTGATTCAACATTGTGTTTACTCCAGTTTGTCCCTGCTGGTTTGCTAAAAGTGGCTAGACAGCCATCTGTAAATATCAGACCATTGTCGGTATAAACAGTGCAGATGAATCTGTACGTCACGGTTTCGGTTTTGCCCTGTATGCGATCAGATGATAATTCATTTATTTTAAGGGTGTAGCATTTCTTTAAACCCACGGTTCAGTTCATCTCTCATTTTTCAGGCAGGTACGAATCTAGAGGAAATAACTATTTATGCCACAGTTTTTGATCATAAACAAAATAAAATAAATCCAATTTTTCTTTTGAATTTTCAGTGCATTTCATACTTGAATGAACTTTACCACACTCAATGTTTTAACTAATAGCACTAGCAGCTCCAGTTGGGCATCACAATACACGAAGATAAAAACCACTGTAAGTTACTGTGGGAGCAATTCTGGTCTCGGTTTTCAAATTTACTTTTAAAGTATGCACATATGTGATGCCCTTTCAAGCCCAGTTCTATAAACAGGAAATGTTTTTTACAGCATTGAACAGATTAGCCATGTAGCGTTATAAACATACAATGAAACACACATACTATAATGTGTACTTTACACAACATTAAATTAAAGGGAACAACATCGTGGGCCTTATTAATACAATACATATAGTAGAAATGTAGGTTCCTATTACATACTACATTCTGATAACTGTTCGTTGATAACTACATCTTACTGAATTACTCCGCAAACAGGAGGCACAGTCATCAATCATCAATTAAAATGAAAAAGAAAACCATAAGTAAAAGCACTACTGTCAAATTTCAAAGGCTCAATCAATTCTTGTTAACAACAATTTCAAAATGCATTTCAGTTCTGAGACTCCAGTTACCATAATCAATACCAGAAGCTTTTATTAGCTTAGGTTAAGCATACCATCAAGTGTATGAGACCAGTTGATCTACAGATAAGCACAGCCAATAAAATTACTGTTAAACATTTAATATACACCATTTTAAAAATGATTATGGTACCAACTGCAATTTAAAGAATAAAATAAAAACAATTACAGTTGCTTTGGTACAAACCTCTGGAGACACTATTGTGGATAATAAGGCTGCAGAACAATTACCAATAATCAGCACACAAATTCCAGCCACCCATTCATCACCATCCTACACTTTGGGCTTGTCTTTGTCATCACGCATGTACTGATATATATGTGGTATGGGTAAGAAGTCTTAATCGGTATGAAATTATTTTGACAAAGCTGACCATTTATCTAAATTGGATACTGTTCAAAAGCCATCATCTTCCTCTATTACAGTGGAGAGGATATGAATTTAGTTAACAGCTTCAAGGGCAACAACCCGCAAGTCCTGCAGTAAAACCTTGCTCGTGTATTAGGAGGCAGATTCAGAGTGATAGAACCTTATGAAGGAGTTACCCTGGAGGCTATTCTACATTGAAAAGAATAATGTCAAGAAATATTTACTTTGATTATTAATGTACAGTACTTTAAAATCAATTTATATGCTATACAAAAAGCTATGCTTTGAGATTGTGGTCACTGGCTCCGGCACTAGATTACATGTAACAGTTTCTCATTATTAGTCAAAGAAAAGAAAAAAAAAGAACAGGAAATACTTCTGTCAACTTGACAATTACATACACTGCTACCATCTCCCCAAGACTGCATTAGATCTTTAGTTTTGATTTTAACTGTGAGAGAACACAAAGTCACACCCATGATACTGTCACATCAACAATAACCATAACGCATAAATATGATGATGGATCACTTTGGTATCACCAAGCAACACCCATGTGGCGGGTTAGAAAGCTGACTTCTGCTATACATGGTCGTCCACTATAGCCAAGGTACAGAAAAAGTTGTGTCGCCTGTGAGAGCTCGGGAGTGTTAAACCAAACATTTTTTTAACCAGCTAGCCACTGGGTGGGTCACCAGAAAAATGGCGTCATCACAGAGGCAACAGATGGCTAGTGTGTCCGCAGTGGAAGAATGGGTGGGTGGCCAACATCCAAACTACACACCAAGCGAGATCCACACATAACACGTACGATTTACCAGAGGTAAAACCTTCTCGCCACAAAGCGTCTCAAAGAAAACGCAACTCTTAAAATGCCCTAATAAGTAGAAATGGTGCGCCCAAGTACAACTGACGCCTTCTAAAGCGTACAAAATGACGAGAAATATGAATTTTAGGTTTTAAAGAAACTGCAACGCTCTTTCACACCGCCCTTCTTATCTTTAACTAGTCACGGGAAAATTATAACCCGCTTAACAGCCATACTAACAGACAAAAAAAAGAGACGCCGGAGAACCGCCTGATCAGCCGAGGCAAGTCAGGAAAATCGCCTCATTGTTTGGTTAAGACTCGACCAATCTTTGCGGTTCCATTTATAAACCTTGCTAAGTTTGCACAGTTTGTAAACAGTGCCCGGTATAGCCTGATAATTTTCTTTAGGGGGAGGCAGGGGTCGAAAGACTTTCTACGATAAGCACACACTAGTTTTTTCTTCAGCACAACTGAACAGCAACTGCGGAAGCGGCACTAAAATAGAGGTCGGCTCGGGGAAAGGCTAACTTAGCTACCGTAAGCTAACATCGCTAGCTTTTAGCTTCGCTAGCACGGCCTCGCTCAGCTCCGGGCAACTTTAAAAAAATATTTCCATCACTTTTAAAAATAACAGTGCGAAAGAAACAACATTTCATCATAGTCGGATATCGCAGAAAGTTGTTTACCTTCAGTTTATGTGCCTAGCAGTTGGGTTTTTCAGTGTTTCCCGGACCAAAGTTGTTTTTCCGACCAGCCGACTCGCTCGCTGCTTCCTCCCGTCTAAATCTGATACAATGAATTACTTGACGAGAGCGAGCCGCTAAGGTTTGTAGTTTCTAGCAGAGGGGGAGGGGTGGCGGGCACGAGCCTGAGAGCCACACCTGCGCGGGCACGACTTGGTATGAACACTTGTGGAAATGTGTAATTTCAGGGTACTATGTGAGCCATAAACACAGTCTATTTCACAGGTGGAATTAAAAAAAAAAAGACTTTCACTCAGTTTAACATGTGTTTTAAAACAGCGTAAGTGTTTCTATCCAACCAAAAGACTTTTACAAGGGTTTCCAATTACAGGTAATCTAAAATAATCTTACTTAAACCACTACGCGGTGTCCAAAACGACTGACTCCAACATTTCCTTACACCTTAACAGTAACTCGTTTTCCTTAGGTTCCAGCTCATTGTAGCTTTGGGCTAAACAAGTGACAGTGGCCATTACTGTACTGGTCCAGTATAAAATAAATGATGGGGTTATGCCCCTACGGGCGAAAATATTTTAAGAACCGAGTTAATTGAACCCAAGTTATAGCATTAAGGTCCAATTCTAAACAGTGCCAGAGCCAGAGCCTAACAGGAAAAACTTTGTGCTTACTGCCCCACCTGGCGGTCAATTTCAGAAAACAAGCCAATTCAGAGGCAGGGAGACGAAATTGTGTAAAAATGTTCCTGTAAATATGAAAAACAAAATAAATATGTTACACTACAGGTTTTTCTCACCTCTGGCAATATATAATATATGCCAAATTAATCACACTTTTTACTTTACTAGGAATTAAGAGGTTAAGTATTAGCCAAGTCCTTCTAATAAATACTACTGTGTGATCACCTCTATAAAAGAAAAGGCTTTGGTAGTATTTGTGTTAATGCAATGCCAAGGAGGAAGTGCATCAACAATGATCTTAAAGAAGCAACTGTTTCTCCCCTTCATTCTGGTAAGGGTTATAAATTCATCATTATACATTAGAAGGATTAGTCACTAGTGGAAAACATTCAAAACAACTGACAGTCTTCCCAGGAGTGGATGCCACAGCAAATTCACCCATCAAGGTTGGACTGTGCAATGCTCAGGAAAGCTGAAAAAACCCAAAAATCTAAATTTAGGATTCTAAAGGTCTGATGTGTGACTTATAGTGACATGTAAAAACTCTTTCACATGACTACTGAGCCCACAAATTCAATAGTAGCTCCACAGCAGGGTACCAATTACCACAAGAGTAATACACCATTCACTAACATTTCATACAATCGCCTTTTATTTCATATTGAGATGAACTAATATATTTGAAAATCAACAGAAGTCTGTGCAAATGCCACAGTACAGAGAAAGAAAGATGTCTGTAGTGTGAACGAGATCTGCTGGAGCAAAAGTAGAGACAGAGAAGGAAAATGGAAGTAATGAAAAGCAAGAAAAATAAACCTTGTGGGTGATCAACTCTGCCAAAACACAACAGTCTCATCTTTCTTAACCATTTTTATCATGAAGTTTGGTGTTTCCCAAAACAATGACATTTTTCCTAGGACTATGTTGTCTCACAAAGTGTCTTAAAGACTTGACAACCTTACATATACAGCATCCCCCAAACACCCAAATGTACCTTACAAGTGATAACCCAGCCATATCAAGCAGTGATTATATTTAATGTCATTGTTACAACTCTCTTTTCTCAGCTTCACATTTGTAAAAACACTCATACTGGAAAATTAAGACAAGAAAAACAATCAGATTAATAGAGGCAATAGTTCTAAAAGAAGTCTTAAATTCTGATGTAAAAACACATGAAGCCCTTCAGTTACTCGTCTTCCAATTTTATACCTTGGGCATACAATTTTCATCCATCTCTCATGTGTCTCAAAGCAAGGAGCTTGTTTAAGACCTGAAAAAATTGAACATAAAATTATGTAACTGGACATCCAATTGGGAAATGATTTGTGAGAATACATTTAAGGATGAATGTAGGGGTGGAGTGAAACAAGCTTTAAAAAAGTCACCATGCCCGGCTGAAGACATGATACATGTGAACAGGGGAAGGGGAAAAAAAGACTTGAACCAAATTTATGTCGGCCAAGTTGCAATGCTAGCATTTCTGCAGAGCCTAAAAGAGAGGCCACTGTAATTTAACAGTGAACAGCACTGACATCATTCATTATGCTCGTCTGCAGTTTTTATAGTTTGACCCAACTGTACAAAGGGATAAGACACACAGACAGGATCTGCCTTCTTCGCTTTAATGACATTTTAATTCAAGGGGGGGGGGGGGAGGAAATAAATAAAAAACAAAACATTGGAAACAGGACTGGAGGTGAGGTTTGGCTGAATGTCAGACTGACGAGATTCAGTCTGAAACCTCAGACTGCCAGCTACAATGCTCCACAGCCTTCAAACCACTAAAAAATAAAAAAAATAGAAAATAAAATAAAAAGGTACAACTTCACCAAATCACTGAACTTCACAGTTATCTGCAGGCAACCGCATTAGCATGTTTTGCTGATTATGCACTGATTTTGTGATGCAAGCTGAATTGGGCAGCCAGTCAAGCTTAACACACACTTTTTAACTGCTATTTGACTATTTGCGGACTATCTTGTATGTAAAGGGTATGAAAATGACACCATAAAGCTGTAAATTGCACTGTAATTCTATGCAATTATGTACAAAGTTGCCTTGACTGTTTTTATCCGTTGCTACTGTGTTTGATGGTCGGGTGCAGTGTTAAGTATCAGACGTCTGACTGCAGCTTCACCTGCTCCACTCTGAAGATCAGTTCCTGTGTCCGTTCATTTACAGAAACAGTAACATTCAAATTAATGTAGAGGCCCAAATCATCCCATGTATACACAGGCTTGCCAAAATATGAGCACAGTGAGATAAAACAAGAATAAACAGGACAGCACACAGAATTCCATCCCTCTAATATGGCTTATCACTTCCCTTTCAACATCACATCTCATTCCATCAACCGTTTCAATTTATCACATGGGGCGAAGGTCTGCAGACTACAGGCTATTTTTGCCATTTATTAAAAAGCAAAGAACCCAATTCTATATTTCAGTGTTAAAAAAAAAAAAAAAAAAAAAAAAAAAAAAAAGGGAAAATTTGAGTCCAGACACAAGACTGACCGTTTTCTCATAGCTTCAAAGGCGTGCTCAGAATCACTCCTTCTGAGCCACAGATAAACATTTTCATTTAGGAGGAATTCAATTTGGTTGGCTACATTTATGTGGGTTTTTTGTTTTTGTTTTTTATTTTGAAGGTGTGGGGACACAGGAAGTTTCATTATGTTGATAAAACAACATTAAAAACAACCTATTTTAATATTTATTTTGAATTCAAAAAGAAAACTATTAAATGGAATTACACGTGTAACATCATACTCATTTTTGTAGCTCCCTAGTTTCCCTAATAATATAATAATAATCATCTGCAATTTTCTTAAATATCTTTAGGAAAGTAGAGGTAACTCTTAATTCTTAGCAGTTCACCCTAATCAGCGTTTAGTCTTAATGTTTGGCCTGTTTTCACAGGAAGAATCATAGAGGCCGAAGGAGGGTGTGAATATAACCTCGTGGACTTTTGCACTTCTAATCTAAAGTGATTTAAAAAAAACCACCATGGTTCACAGTCTCAGCTAGTTGGAATTTCTCATTGAAATTACAAGCTTATGATTATGAGTGCAAAAGTATTTTTCCAAAGTACAGTTTCAGTTTGTCATCATTGCTAAACAATTCATTTGCTTCAAATGACTAATCAAAAAGGACAGGAGGGAAATTGCAAATTCAATGATTTGATTGTTTCCACAATAGCATGCAACAGCAACAGCAATGACTGGCAGCACAATCAGTGAACTGATGACCTTTAGGTGTAAATGAAGTTCATGTTTATTTAGATGAAATAATTTAGCTGCTATCAACAACCCTAGAAAACGATTCACCATGAGTCAGGTCTGGAAGTATAAATTTAGAGATGGTAATGCTACAAGTCCAAAGGATGTGACTGTGAGACCTGTGCCATGTTGACTACTGACCAGGACAGCAGTCCTCTGTTTGTGGAATCATTTGTCCTCATGGACCAGTGCCAGAGTTACAACAATTATAAAACTTAAAATCGGTAACTCATAAATCAATGTGATTTTCTTTAAATACCACATTTCTAATGGTGCAAATGGATAAAAGAAGCGCAGACAATGACCACCTTCCCTTCATTGTAGGCACCCAGATAACAGAACAGCACTTGCTCACACATTTGTAGCATAATTTCAGAATCTTGAATGCAGAAGTGTAAACAGGTTAGGATCAGGAAAGAAATAAAATCAGCTTGCAAAACAAGAAAATCATCCACAGATCTGTGTGACGTAACACCACCAACATGTCTTGTTAGTCCAAAAAAGTTAAATTTTTGTTGAATTAAATAAGTGAAAAGACTATGGGG